TTTGTGTCTTAGAAACTACAAATCTACTGATATCTGAATAACTGCCTTTCTAACATGTCCTTTTATTGCAAGCTTTTTGCTGTAAAACTGAATTTTAGGACCTACACACCTTTATTTTATTTGCTAAAGGACTGCATTTTGATATTTTATATTTTTTTATGTGAATGATATGCTTCACAATCTAGTGTTGCAACATATCTCTCTGTCTTTTGTACATTTAAACACCAAGGTAAAGTACATTTCTCGTAGAGTGTGAGTAAAATAATCGATGAGTTGCAAACGCCTGAGGGGCAAATGAACTGTTTTGTCCCCTGCATGGCTGTTGTTCTTGATTTAAAAATGTTATCTTGTGTAGCATCCACTCCCCTAAATCCGATCTGTATGTGTGAGAGAGAGAAAAACGCCTGAGAGACAGAAGCTTAGTTAACTGATAGAATGCAATATTTTTAGATGGGCATGGAAGACAATGGGTGGGGTACAGTGTACAGATAAATGGGAATGCTTTATTTCTCACACACTGAAATTCAAAACCATTATACTGTGAGATACTCACCATGATGATGATGATGATTTGACAATATTACCTTGAAATTATTTCTTAATTTCCCCGTACTTAATAAAACTTGATCACCAGACTGGCCTTTAAGGCAAATCTATCTTTTATGAGTATGCAATTTCCTTATACAGATTATATAGTTGTTCAGATGTGCTGTGTGTATATCTGGTAAGACCTAAAATATTTATCTTTTCTCATCAACTGCACAATCATAGCAGAGCTAATAAAGTGATGGGAAAAAATGGTGAGCCAGTGATGTGCTTTTTTTGCTGTGACAGGTCTTTTTTCACAGGAATGTCTGAGTTGAAGAGATCTAGATTAAAACTCAGCCTGCCACTATCAGCAGAACTAGACCACGTCCCAAGATGTATCCTCGTGTGACAGCTGACAGACCCAGCAGTCGAACAAGTGACCAGAACGTGTATAAATAGACACCGAAGTGGAATACTAAAAGTATAGCTTCAACTTTTTGGCTTTGTTGTGTATCTGTTTGTTGTGCTCCTAACAATTCAAAAGGTCGGAATCGATGGACGGATTAATGCAAAATATAATATATTATATCTACGAGCCAGATGCAAGCATCAAAAGAGCCACACCTGGCTCGCAAACCATAGGTTCCCGACCCCTGGTCTAGTGGGTACACCATAAGGCCAGGAGGCCTAGGCATGACATTCCCCAGCAATGAGGCAGCAGCTACCAAAGTACCCATCTCTGCAACTATAGAACTATCACTGCGCCAGCAGACACAGGCAACCCTCATTGGTAGGTAGCTTAAAGGGCGGATTATACTTCTGCAACTGCTAGGGGTGTAAATCACATCCATCATGGCGATTCGATTCAGTATCGATTTCCTGACCCAACGATTCGATTATTTTCGATACTCAAGAATACACCACGATTCGATTCGATTAATCGATTAATCGGTTACATTTTTTTTTTCATTATTATTATTTTTTTTACACCTTACAGGCTAAACAAAGTTTCAAGTTTGAAATAAATCAATGAAAGCTGTAATATCATTATGCATTTTCTTTAGAAACAACAGCAAATAACAGAAGTAGAAAAGTTGCATCAAAAAATACTGTAAAAATACTGCACAATATCAGTGTAATGAGTTCAATGCAATACCTCGGCTCCAGAGAAACTGTCCAACATATTTTTTTAGAATGTAATAAATATACTCAGGAAAGAGAGATGTTGCTCAGAGAGTTAGACAGGAATAAAAATAAACTAGATATAAGGGAATTGTTTCAAAGGTAATCTGGGGATGTAGTTTTTGGTAGTATTTTTAATTTTCTAAGAAGAACGGGTATTTTAGGGAGAATATAATAGTTTGTCTGGTCCATACTCCATTCAGGAAGGTGGCGGTAATGCACCTATAAGTTGTTTGCCAACCGCCATAAAAAAAAAGAAGAAGAAGAAGGCTTCAGAGTATCGACGTCACCGCCCACTTGAGAGACGCTCCGCCGTTCCTCTCCCAGATTGTAGCTGACCGCAAACAGTGCAGCAGACAGGAGGCCGGCTTGTTTTGTTTTTATGACCGAAATTGCGGAAAACAACTCGTGAAGTTTGACCCGCTAGAAGAGCGGGGTGCGCGAGACCGCTGTGACCCTTTTTCCAGCTGAATCTCCGCTCTTTTTGCCCTCATGTCCCTTCGTCGTCGGACTAAACTCGCCCCCACTTTCTCACCGCCTCGGCCGTATCTAGACCCACAGCGTGTAGCTCAGACCACGCTTCAATACTGAGCATAATTTAAAAATGTCTGTGTGAAGCTTGCTGCAACAAACTGCTGTAAGAGTATAACCAGGAAGCGCGGTAGGAGGGCAAAATAGGTTTAGCGGCACCGCAGCACGGGAGGATTACGCCCAGGAGCAAATGGATAAAAATAGACCGGAGGAAAAAAAAACATGAATCGATTATCTTGCGGACGTGTCGATGCATCGGATCGTCGGCTTTTGGATCGATGCATCGATACAAAACGATTATTATTTACACCCCTAGCAACTGCACACCTCAAATGTCGCTTGCGTCTGGTCGTGATCCAGTTTTGCTGGTATGCTTCCGCAAAGTCGGCCTGGAATTTCTGAGGATGCACAGCAGTTTCCCGCCAAAGCGCAAGGGGGAGCCTATTCAAGAACTCACAACAACTTCGACGGATGATCACAAGAACTTCTTCGGGGGCGCTGGTGGGAGCGTTTATTTTCCAAAACAACATTGTCTCAGGCATCATACAAGTGGTTGTACTTCCGAAACCTCCTCGATCAACCTTTCGTCATGGTTATCTATTTTTATTACTCCTCGGCCACACAGACAGCTGGAAAGGCATACCATGGACCAATCACAGCTGATTTTTGTCTATGCATTTCCGTTTGAGGTCTGCGCAGGTTTGCGACCATCCAGCGTGTAGTCAGGATTTATTTTAGGTGTGCGACGACGGATGCAGAGCCTCTGCGCAGGTGGCGTGGTCGCGCACAGAGACAGATTTGACGGTTGCAGAGGCTATGCATCAGAAGTATAAATTGGCCTTAAGAAGGAAGAGGAGACAGCCTTGCTCATGCTTGGGACCTAGGTTATTCAAGTTGGGGGGAGGGGAGGCAAACACTCAACCTGACAAGTAAACAAAGACAAATTCACATTCATCCAGTCACATTTATGCAATCCTACACTTACAACCATACGGACATATACACGTTTTCAACGGAGATGCACACAGAGGCAGACCCTAAAAATATTCTGACACTCCTCGTACATACACTATTCTCTAGGGGCCAATTCCCGTAGGGTGAACAGGCCTACAGACCCAGGAGGAGAAGGTAAAAACCATTAGTGCTGTGGTTGGCACAACCACTTTCCTGATTTCCTGTGTGGGGGGGGGGGGGGGGATTGGCAAACCAGAGTTTGGCTGGCAGAATGCTTCAGCCACCCAGCATTTCCCCAGAGTAAGAGGAGGAAAAAAAACATTGCGTCAGGGAGTTTTTATGGGCCCTTTAGCCTTCCGTACTATGTGCTATAGTGGAGCTATACCCTGGTTGTAAAAGTCCTGAAGATTTGGCCGCTATGTCGCCATGTCGGTGTCGGCATGTTGTCTAGACAAAAGGGATTTAAATCAAGTTCTATTTTACAAACAATAAACTCCTGAGCTAAATTCAACCTATAAAAATCAATGTCATTGTATTGTACAGGGGTACACACAGTGGATGAGGTGAATAAATGACTGAGGCTGTGCTTGGATAAAATGCAGGGCAGTATGAAAAAAAACAGTAGTTGTAGCAGAACGCTGTTTCTGACAGGTGTCAGGCGATCAGCTCCTCAGCCGTCTAAAGCAACAGGTGGAAGCAGAGCGCAATCGTTTTAAGAGTTGAGAAGAAAAACTGTGCCAGAACTAATCAGTCAATAGATTCCTATTTTAATATACAGGATATTGGATTGGTGCCTGGACTCCAATATTCAACAACTCGACTCAACTTTCAACTGACAAGGGTTTGAGTCACGGTTGGAAGTTATAGGTTACAACTCTAACAGAAACGGAGGTAGTGGTACATTACCACCTTGGTGTTGAGATGGTGGAGTGTAGAAAGTTAGCTGAAATCCCAACACCGTAAGATCTGGGTTACCGTTGGCCACTCCATCAGGAGCATGCCAAGGCATTGTAGGGAGGTCATACAGGCACATGGAGACCACACATAATACTTAACCTCATTTTGACTTGATTAAAGGACATAGCATCAAATTTGGATCAGCCTGTAGTGTGTTTTCCACTGTAATTTTGTTTGTGACTCCAAATCCTGGCCTCCATTGGTTAATAAATGTGATTTCCATTTATGGTTTTTGTATGATTTTGTTGTCAGCACATTCAACTTGGTACAAAACAAAGAATTCTATGGGAATATTTCATTAATTCAGATTTAAGATGTGCTGTTAGAGTGTTCCCTTTATTTTTTGGACCTTCTACCATTGTCAGGCTTATTTGCTGTATTATAATCAGTAAACCCTCTGAACATAGGTGGTGTGAGTAGTGCTGGCCTATTGGTTAGTGCAAAGAGCTTGGAATACTGAGGTTTTGATTTCGAACCCCAGTCCAATAGACTGCCACTCTGGCTCTCTTAGCAAGATCCTTAACCCACACACTGCTCCCTTGGTGCCCCACGATGGCACTTATAGCCCACTGCTCCCCAAGGAAATGGGTTAAAAGCAGAGGTAAATTTCTCCAATGTGAGATCAATAAAAATCAATTATTATTACTAATGGAATGTAGGATAATGGGTTATTTCAGAACATGTCATTTAACTGCATTGGTTAGAGGGAGCAGTCAGAGGGTCCATTTAAAGAGGTTCAGATGACTCTGATGGGCTCTTTAGAGTAGAAATACATTCATCCTGATTTCTTGTATGTTGTTAACTTTCTCTGTTTGATTTCTGATTTCATATGTAAATGTGTGTTTCAGCACTGGGAGGTGTTTAAAGTGATAACCGAAGTCTTCATCCTGGTTCCTGCTCTTGTCGGACTCAAGGGAAACCTGGAGATGACCCTGGCTGCTCGGCTGTCCACTGCTGTAAGAACCAATCTGTTTTCTTCAAACTGCTCCTAGTACGACCTGATGCACTGCAAAAAACTAAAAAATCGAAATAAGTCATTTTTTCTTGAAATATTTGCTTGTCTTTGAGAGGTAAGGGAGACACTTCACCAACGAAACACTACGTTATAGATTTAAAATAAGAAAAATGATTCCATTGTCTTATTTCAAGTGCATATTATCTAATTATCTTATTTTAAGAATAAAAATACTTATTCCATTGGCAAAATATGTTATTTACCTATTTAAAGTAAAGGTAAAACACACTTATTTGTTCTTAATTCTTGACTGTTTTCGCAGTGTGCTCAGATTCAGCAGGATGCTGTTCTTTACAGAGGTCTTTTTCTCCCTTCATCTTTCCACATTTTCCCATTTAGCTAATGAAAGTTTTAGGATTAAGTAAAAAAATAAGTCAAATAAGTCTGGGAAAAATCTTTTAATTCCCTTATATCTGCAAGCTGTCCTATTCTCAAGTTCTTTGCAGCCTCTAACAGGTTCCCTTCTGGCGATTACCTGCATTTGGCTTTTATCAACTCCAGTTTTTTCGTCAGTGCTGAAGAAAAACTGCCCCACAGGATAATGCCTCTCCCATCATGCTTTGCAGAGATGTTATGTAAATGGAGGTGTTTTTGTTTATACACAGTTTTATGCATGTTCAATTCTCTCTGTACACTACCTGACTCATGTGTTCATGGCTATGAATACCTGCACTGCTTCATGGTCTTTGCATTTTAAGATGATGGTTTGAACAAATCTCTGTGGGAAACTTAAAGCTTGGAACTTTTTCTTTAATATCATTTTCCTGCTCTAAACTTCACTAAAACTCTCCTCTAACCAGTTAGCTGTGTTCCTTGGTCTTGAAGAGGCTGTTTGACCTCTAAAAGACATATGGACCTTCTTAGATCAAGGCACAAAGCCTGGGTGAGGCATAGAATTTACTGCTTAGAGCAGCTAATGGGAAGCTGCTAACTGTGATCTGTGTAAGTCAGGGTTGCAGAACATCCCGTAAAATATGGAATTATCCCTTATTTACAGTAGCAGTTAAATGTTGTATTAAATATACAAATAAAGGAGGTGGTTTGTACCGTATCTTCATTCATACCCAACACTCAACATTAAAGCTACTGTAACAGTAATTAACAAGATAAAACACAGTAAATACCAGGCCCATCAAAATCTCTGTGGCCTGACTGAAGTAGAAGCTGATCAGGTTTGCCTCTCTGTCACCTGACTTAGACCTGATACTTCCTCCACATTTACACAGGGAGTTGCTTGCAAAAATAAAGACTTAATTCTGAAGAAAATAAATCATTTTGTCAATAAGGATAGGTACAAGGAAAATGATAAAATTTGTCACAGTGTCTAGAGTGGCGCACACGGAGCACATGAAGCACATAGAATCCAAATCATCAGTCCCTTATACTTCAACCATTTCCTGAGACTGAAATTGTAAGGCACATTAAAGTGACTGGTTAAGATGTGGGGTTCATAATAATTTATTTCTCAAACTGTAGTGTTATGAATATTTTTTCAAATAGTAAATAATAAAAACAAACAAGGTATTTTTTGTACATTTTCTAGATTAAAATGTATCTAGCATCCTTTGTGTATTTTATGTCAAAGTGTTGATATTTTTAAGGAAAAAGTACAGGGATCATTTTATACGAAATTAAGTTACTAACAAAATCTTCATGTTATGGAGAATGTAGATGAGTTTGCTGCGTGTATAATATTTCCAGAGGAGTTATTTGACAGTATTTAGTGCAGAGCAACGTTTAATATTTAGGATATATTTAAAAAGCTCTTTATTAGTTCACACAAATAGACCACCTTTAGGTGCTAGTGCTAGTTTTATGGTATGTAATATAATATTTCATTAATTTGGTCAATCGTGCAATATGGCCCCACCAGCCCTCTGTCTGCTTGTGAGAGCGTATGGGTTAACCTTTATGCTAGGGCACATGACTCAATGTGAGTCTGCATCAGTGACAGAGGATGAAGCGGCTCTCTAGGGATGATGGTACGGGCAAAATGAGCATAGATACCCTCCAACTCTACCTGTCAAAATAACACATTTTCAAAGAGCTGACTCGAGGTCCTCCACTGATTTTATCTGTAAATAAGGTGTATGAAATGTGTTAAATAACATTTCCATTTCTTTAAATAATATTTTTATATACTATATAAAAAAAAAACATTTCCATAGCTTTTGGCTTTTGGTTATTATTAGGCTGATGGTCAGCCTTAAAATAAATGTCAGGGTAATAACTAGGGCTGCAACTAACAATTATTTTGCAAATCAATTAATCAGACAATTATTTTTTCTATTAATCAATTAATAATCGGATAGGCAAACGTTCATTATAGAGGATTTTTTACGAAATTAAAAAAAAGGTGAAACTAAAACGTTTCCACTTCAGGAGTTCTGGATAGAGCATATTGACAAACATTTTATTTTTTTTATCTAAATTGCAAAATGTTTATATACTTTTTACTATTTTGATATAATTACTGTTCTAAGTGGGTTGCTCTCTCAGCTAAAGGCAAGGTTTACAGTCTATATAATAAATGATGAACCGATTACTAATCTAGTTGACGATTATTTCATTAATTGATTAAACCGATTGTTTCCTCCCTAGTAATAAGCTTGTAATATCCATCTGTTTTGCTGCTAATGAGACACTAAATCCATCCCTCCATTTTCCGTCACGTCGCAAGAGGTGCTGGTGCCGATCTCCAGCTGTCTATTGGCGAGAGGCGGGGGAACACTCTGGACACGTTGCCAGTCTTTTCCATGGCAACTCGGAGACAAACAGGACAAACAACCATTCACACTCACACCTAAGTAGAATTTAGAGAAGCCAATTAACCTGACAGTCATGTTTTTGGACTGTGGGAGGAAGCCAGAGTACCTGGAGAGAACCCTCGCATGCACAGGGAGAACATGCAAACTCCATGCAGAAAGACGAACCCAGAACCTTCTTGCTGCAAGGCAGCAGTGCTACCCGCTGTATCACTGTGCAGTTGAGACACTAAATACACTATTAAATTGTTACTAGTTAAAATTACATTACTTTGTAAGACTTCTGAGAATATACCTGATTCAATCAAAAGTTTGGCATTTTATTTGATCTTCAAAATTTACAGCAATTTGCTGTAAATTTGCTGTGTTTAGCCTTAATCCCCACAACAGCGTTTCCCATTGGTCTCCTCTCAAACAGTTTACTAATGCCGCCCAAAAGTTTCTCTTATTATTACTGTATGAAAACCCGAATAGTATGACTACATGCAGAAAAGTTCAGGACTATTAATAATGTGCTAAGGGGGCTAGCTGCAGCAGGTAAGATTTTCACTATGTGGTAAAAGTGGGAAAAAATTGTAAGCAGTTGGAGCTGGTGGAGCACAGATCAGTCGGTCCCAGTTTCAATAATTTTAGGTGATACTTGCATAGGAAACCGATCAACCAAGCAATCCTAAACATTGTATTTGTATTGCATAGGACTTCTTAGGCAGTTATAACAACTTACGGTTGTACAGCTATTGTTCTTTTTGTTTTAAATAAAATAGGATTAGGACATTGAAGAATTATTATGACTTTAGAATATTCCATTGGGTTAGTCACAAAAAATAAAATCATCATAAAACATTGCAAACTCTTTTAAGATAGTTCCACCTCCAGTCTGTAATATTGTGGCTGTTGCTTCTCTGTTGTAGGCCAACACAGGCCAGATGGATGACCCTGACAAACAGTGGACCATGGTGTGCAGCAACCTGGCTCTCATTCAGGTAACCCCTGCTTTCACCCAGCAGGCAGAGGTGGATGCTTCCCTGTGTGGAGCTAGATAAGCTCTGACCGCCTGATCAGACGTGTTCCTGCTGTGTTCATGAATGATGTGTCGCTCTGCAGGTTCAGGCCACGGTGGTGGGATTCCTGGCAGCCGTGGCAGCCATTTGTTTAGGTGCAATCTCCAGGGGAGGGGTTGAACTGGACCAGGCAGCTGTCCTGTGTGCAAGCAGCATTACCACCGCCTTCGTAGCTGCTCTCTCATTGGGTATGTGACAGAGGGGCTGAAAAGTTATATTTGTTAAAACTAAAGCAATAAGAACACTTTGATGAACATCCTGGATTAAAGGCTACAGACGCCCATTAAAGATTTTAACCTAGATATAGAGAAAAAGCTTCTTGTTTTACAATTTTATTTAATTCTACGTAATTTTTATTCATAATATTCTCTAACTCTAACCCTCTCCAAGTAAAATACAAATGTTTCATAAGATCAGCAGAATCTACGGTGACTCAGAAGCAATTCAAGGTTTTCTTATATTTCTAGAAGGAGTAATCCCTTTATCTTTCACAGTGACTGGTGGAAGTTTACCTTGATTTCTGTCTGGATATCAGCAATCTGTAAACAGGCTTAAAGAAGTATTTTAAAATGTTTAATTTATTTTAAAGGGATATTTTTCATTGTAGCCTCCCTCTAATTGTCATGTATGATTCAGAGCAGTTGTTATGTCTTTCATTGTTCTAGAAGTGCTCTATTTCCGCCTCAGCAAACAGTCCCTCTGATGTAAAGCTAGAGACATTGGTTTTACATATATCTTTAGAATTTAGTTGTTTTGTTAACCTGGAAACATTTTCATTTTTCTCTGCTTGACCTTCACCTTATCAGAAAGTTTGTGGCTTTTTTTCATTTTCTCCATCTGCCTACCCCTCCATAGGCTTGGTGATGATCGGAGTTATCATCGGCTCCAGGAAAGTGGGAATCAACCCAGACAACGTGGCCACACCTATTGCTGCCAGCCTGGGTGACCTCATCACGCTGTCCCTGCTGGCGGGGGTGAGCAGCACGCTCTACGAGTACAGAGGTGAGGAGCACAGCATGGAGGAAGCACCAGTTAAGAGGTACTTCCTGTTTAACTGCTAGATCTGGCTTATTCCAGAACTCACCACAAGATGGCAGCAGAAATCAGCTTTCATTTTAGACAAATCCACAACTGTACTGTTCAACTTCTGTTTTCTTAATTCCTCTTAGCCTTATTTACAGTTTGAGTGTTTTATACAACCATTATGCTATATAAATTTATTACACCTGGGGGATTATATGCCAAGCATTTAGATCAGTATATTTTAAAGATTGCTGCTAATAGGACGGTTGAAATATTGCATCATTCTTAAATATTGATAATGCTTAAATGTTGTACACTGGGGATTACTGCTGAATCGATAGCTTTTCATCAGATAATGCTAATAAATTGCTAAAGAAGCTGTTTGCCAAATTAAAAAGTGATTGAAAGGACAAACTATACCTCACTATATTTGACGTTTTAAGACTGCTCCTATCACCATGCGAGAAGAATAAAGCTGAAATGCATTTCATTAAAAGTCATTAAATTATTATTTTTTAAATGAAGGCCTTAATTGGCATTAAAATTCATTAAATGTGATGATCGTGGCATTTAAAATGCTTTATTAAAAAAATAAATAAAAAAATAAACTAAACTAAACTGCTTCCGGTTGATATGTTTGGAAAAGAAGCTCGAGACAGAGAAAAAGTATGTGAAAATGCAAATGGGTACTTGAGTCAATGTTTGGGTACTTGTTGATGGCATTGAAATTATATATAGCAGCATTAAAAAGCATTAAATTAGAGTTCCTCATTCCTGTAGAAGCCCTGCATGACCCGAAGATGCTGTAAACTTCTTCTCTACACATGATTTATTTTACATATCTTATGATTTTCTCTCCTGCAGACATCTGGTACCTGTCCCCCTCGGTGTGCCTGGTTTTCCTGGCTTTGATTCCACTGTGGGTGGTGTTAGCCCGACGGAGTCCACAGATCAGAGAGGTTCTCCGCTCAGGCTGGCAGCCTGTCATAGTCGCCATGTCCATTAGCAGGTACACACTTCTGTTTAATTCATTTCAGACATGGAAAAGAGATTATACAATACTGTAAAAATGTTTATATATGATTATCCTCCAGTGAGGCAGGGCTTCTGGTGAATAATCATCATTAGGTCTGAGTAGTTACTTTGGCCACTTTGTCATTTGTTTTCAGTCCAGCACCGGATCAGTGATCAACCTTTTTATTTAATGCAGTTCTAACATCAGGATTACCTTAAATCGAGTACCTATAGACCAGTCGAACCTTAAGTGATTTACTCTATAATGCACAAAGATGCTATGAAGTGTATCTTTTAAAAAGTATTGATTTAAGATCAGTAATTCTCAGCTGCTCAAAGGAAGCTAATGTACTTTGAACAAAAGAGATGGGAGAAAAATAAAATGACAGCGAAAAAAACGTTTGGAATAAGTTTCCTATTCTTTTATATTAACATTGAAAAAATGACGTTTGTGAAAAAACAAAAGAGGTTTTTTGGAAGTCTCTGCATTTTAAGATGAAACAGCAGTTACAGAGTAATTAAACATTGTTCTGTTTTTATTCGAGTTTCGGAGGCCTTATACTGGACAGGACTGTGAGTGACCCCAACTTTGAGGGCATGGCTGTCTTCACACCTGTTATTAACGGTAAGCTGATTTGTCCTTCCTTCTGACGCCACTCTTATGTTTTCTCCTCTTTAGGTTAAATTTTGATTTATTTTAATTCTGCTATAACAGGAAGTCAGTCCTGTTTTAAAAAGTGTTGAGGTGAACTTAGAAGAAGAGGCGGTACTATCCGGGCTTCAGTTGTTGATTATTTTGGTAATAGATTAATCTGAAATTCTTTATTTTTAATTAATAATCAGGCGGCAAAAGGTTCCTTGGAGAAGATTTTATAGGGAATCTTAAGCAGATGAAGCTAAAACTCCCACTTGGGGACTTCTGGATAAATCCTATCGACAGACAATAAAGGTTTTTTTTCTTTGTGAATGCAAAATGTCTATTTATTTCATGTTGGTATAAATACAGTGGTGAGTGGGTTCCTCATTCAGATAATGTGATCATTTTTATACCTCCAAAATACAAAATACTCCTTCGCATAAAACCCTCAAAATACTTTGTAGCTTGTGATTTATAGCGTGATTTCAAAAAAAGCTTAAGGGGTGTAACTATTTTCTACTTTCTCTTTTTTTTTGTCCTCTAAATGCCTTTTGGATTTAAAGGGTGGATCCACTTTTTTTTTAAAATAATTGTTCCTTTTGATACTGAGCGGCTTTAGAGAACCGTCACTGAAGTGAAACAAGCTTAAACCTGAAATTATCCTCTAAATTGTATAAAAAGACATTTGAGTCTCAAACAGTCCTGAGGGAACAAACACAACCACAGCTTTGAACAGATTCAACCCGCAACGTTGCCCCAACTTGAGTATTTCCTCTTTTTTATCCCATCTTTATTTAAATTGCAAAGAAGAACGAACTAAAACCACCTTTTGTCTGGTTGGTAAAATATCTCAATGAAATAATCTTCAATGGTTTGGAAATCACTTGGCTTTAAAATCAAAGCATATTACTGAGAACTGAGGGAACTAAAGCACGGTTTGTTAGTTTCCCCTGAAAAACAATAATTAGAGATACATTTAGAATAGCAACAGCTGTGAGATGATGCAGAGAAACTTCTATTGCTTCCATTACTTAAATTTTTTTTTCTCACCTTTTCTAAAGGACAATTGTACGAACCTTTTCAGAGACACAGAACAACCTAACAGCCTCAAAAGGCCAACAAATTCAGCAGAGCAGCATCTGAAACGAGAAAAAACATTAGAAAACGTCTGACTTGTCTACACAGGAATATACATGTAGATTTGTTCACAAACAGACGGACAGATAGAACTTTACTACATGTGGTTTATCATCCTTTAGATGAGATAAAGTTAGTTGTGCAAAGGAAAAATGGTCCATTGTCCCTATTCTTGTGACTCATTAAATATAACCAGAAGCACCATAAAATCTCTTTAAGCTGCCGGGCTGAACTGAATGGGACCACATGACACTTTCAGTCCTTTTACTCTGGCTGCTCTGGATTCAATTTAGAGATATTAGAGTAAAGGGGGCTGAAGTTAGTTTTTGACAGGTAAACATGCTCTTTCTGCCATTCTTGATCAATTTTCTACATTTCTGTTTTGGCCTGTCTCATAAAATCCCCGTAGTGAATGTTGAAGTTTGGGATTGTAAATGACAAAATATGAAAGAGTAAAAAAAGTCATTGGGTACTTTCGTAAGGCTCTGTGTTCAGTTTGGAAAATGCATTGAAGGACAAGTGGAGGCAAACTAAAAAAAAAAAAAAAAAAAAAAGACTTCTAAGATGGGTTGGTTTGGCTGTGAGGTGAGGCATGAAGAGAACCACTAATGGCGCTCAGCCCGAGTCCCGGCGCAGCTGACAGGGCCTTTAATAACCATCCACTCAGGCTGCCACTGTGTCTCATTCAGTTTCCACTCTGCTTCTCGTTCTTTCCTCTGAGCTGCGTCTCTCTGCTGAATTCCAACTTCTCCAATCTGGTTTGAATTTCCCATCTCTCTCTGCTCTGATGTGCTCATAAAACCCGTTTTTCCATCTCACTAAAAACCATCTGTCATCGTTAAGAGGTGGAGATCTTTTGACATGTGTGACATCAATGTGTTAAGCACTTGTCAACAACAAAATGAATGTGACCGCTGAAAATAAGACAGTGAAGATCTTAAAGAAAAATCCCAAACCCAGGTTAGATTAAATGACTAAAACTACTGAAACCATCTGTGGAAACTAAAACAAGTTTATTTTTATGCAGCTCAGATGGATTTATAAAGGTGGCAGAGTTTGACGAGCAATCATTTTTTTATTTTTCATTTCCATACGTGCTGCAGCTCTCAGTTTTTTTCTGAGGTAACGGTGCACAGACCCGGACGGAACTGTTCCTCAGGCTGAAGCCGTTTCTCAGACGGATCTGGGTCAGGATAAAAAGGTTTCCTGTTTCTGACTTGAATATTAAGATCACCTTTTAGCATTCTCCAAAGTCGTTTGTTTAGCTGAAATCTAACCCACATGAAACATTTAGAGATGCATAAACCAGAGATTTTGTGGCGAATTGATCACAGATTTATTAAAAAGATAAAAAAATAAATAACTAAATAAAAGATAGAAACAAAGAACCCACATTTAGACAATAATCTTTCAGGTTTTGTACCTCTGCCAAAAAGAATCACAGCACGTCTCTTTTAGTTAATAAGGAAACTGTTTTTTTTTTTTTTTTGCACAGCTAAAAATCTAAATAAATAACACAGTTAAAAGCTCAGATTAATGTCCTAAGTTAGTGTTTATGATAAATTAAGCCCGTAGCATCATAAATGACCCCTCACACCCCCACCATGGACTGTTCTCTCTGCTGCTCTCTGGGAAGAAGCTTCGAAGCATCCGATGCAGGTCCAGCAGATTCCAGAACAGTTTCTTCCCCACCATCATTAGACTGCTGAATGTTATGTAAAATGGGTTATAAAAAAAATAATAATCTTAAATGTTGGAACTGTAACTATTACAGTCATATGTTTACATCAGTTTTTATTTCACCACTGTCTGGAGAGCTTACTTAACAAAATTTCATTTTGTTTACACTTGTGTGCACAAAATGACAAAATAAAATCTGTCTAAGTCTAAATGATTGCTTAAGTGTAACCATACAGCTTTCTGGCTATTCAATTATTAATTGATTAATTGAAAAAAGATTTAAGCTGTTCTATTGTGATCAGTATGTATTAATTAATCATTGTTTGTAATTATTTATAGTAGCTCCAGATTAGCTACACAGCTCGTTCACTTCAGAGGTCCATATTTTAAAGTGTCTTAGCTTCTAATATTAACAGTTAGCAATGTGTATGTTTAATTTTATAGTTAGTTCACCTCTTGATGCCAAAAAGAGCCCAACAGATTTTACTTTCACAAGTGGAGCAGTAGGGCTATTGCCATATTGCTCCACTTGTTTCATGCATATAAATTGCTTTATTATAATTATGCAGGGAGTTTTACAGTTTATATGGACACTGCAATGTAAATAGTGCAGAAAAACAGAAGAAAAAAAAGGAAAAAAGAGAAAAAAAGAGAAAAGATGAAAGAAAGAGGAGATAGGAAGGAGACAATGACAAAACATTTTCAGTCTGCTTCATCACCTGTAACGAGATGAAAAAAGAACAGCACAACCGAAAGACACGGTACGAGATATACAATAAAGCAACACCTTTAAACTATCGCTAAAGTAATATTATTAAGTCTGACATGTACTCTGTGTTACCTGAAGATATGAATGTGGGGTTTCTGTTTGGAAGTGTGAGCTTTTCAAAAAAGCCCTAACATTTCCAAATCCAGCCAGCTCCATGACAGACAACCAGAAATAAGGAAACACTGGGCCTGATGCAACAGCGTTTTCTCCTTCGGTGGGCTCTTATGAACACGCTGCATCAGATTCAATAAACCTTCTTAACTTCAGTAAATCATCGTCAAAAACCTGATGCAGACCTGAGAGCATGTGATTCAGAGAAATGTAAATCTGCATGATTACCGCCCCGATAATGCCATGAAAGGGGAATTCCTACACTTGTTCATTCGCAGAAATGGGTTTGAAGACGAAGAAGAGAGACTTTACCAGGTCAGAGACGGTGAACTTGACTGAGCACTAAACGGCAGAATGAAGGGAACAGTAAAAGCAAAGCAGTTAAATGAATCACAAGAGCTGTAAATACCGCGGTTGTACTGTTATACAACTAACTATGAAAAATGAAAACTATTTAGGGAGGCAAGAGGTGCAACTTATTATAAGATAACAATCAGACAGCAAACCATATTTGTCATCGCACGCTCTTTCATGCTACGCATTAAAATACAAATGTAACATAAAAAGAATTAAGACCCAATCCTGCTAAATAAGAGACTTACCGGTAATCTGTCATATACATTACTGTATATACCCTTTGCCCTTTTTATTCCTTCTGGCACATTCTTCTTGTTATTGACTCTTTTTGCTGTTGTAATTTGTAAATTTCTCCACTGTGAGATCAATAAAGTCAATCAATACATCAAACTTTTTACATTCTATGTAATAGCAAAGCCAAGGTGCTACAATGGAGAGAAATGAATGCAGGTCTAAACATTAGAGGAGTTTAAAGCAGCAAATTTCTTAACTTTATTCTGAACTTTTTATTCATTTTCTGTTCCAGATGTTATTTCAATAGTAACTTGATCTCTGATTGTTCTTTCTTCTGACTAATTGTCAACAAATGAAACCAGTTTCTCCTGGATCAGCCAACTCCAGCTGCAGGTGTAGTGACTAATAGTTTCTCATAATTGCAAAGTTGCACAATGTATCATGATGCAGCCTTTTGAAATGGAAAATATCTTCTAAGTAACAGAAAATGGGATCATTTAGTGAACAACTGGGTTTGGATAACAGCAGAGTGATTGTGCAAGACTCCTATGTCTTGTCTGGAGCACAAATAAAATTTGCATATTGAGGAACCAAATAGCTCATAACTTTAAAACGTTGTTAGCAAGCTTATAACCCTGAAGCTCTCAGGTATTTTGATCCTGTTCTAAGTTATTTTCTTTAAAGTTAATATATTTCTAAACTGTTTTAGTGGAGCAATCAGAGAAATCTCACTTTTCTTTGTATACATAAAAAAAAACATGGGTTTTTATGTAAGCGCGTTCTATACATTCATGCTCCTTTTTCATCATTTAATGGAGGATAAATCATGGCCTGAATGCAGCATCTCCTAATCACATTCTCAGATTTATTGATGCGCAGCTTCAAGCTGACAAAATTCTGAATTTCAAACCTCACCATCTGATTTAAACGTGCTTGGCTCGATGTCACATCACACACTGCCACATATTGGGCAAAGAACATCCAACATGTTGAAGTCCACTGATATTTGATTGGAAGCCATTAAGGATTAAAATACAACAGACAATATAAAAAGAGTGTATATAGTACAAAAAAGCAAAAGAAAAGTTATACTGTCATGAAATATGTTTCCTTCAGATATAAAAATATCTGCACTGTTAAGAACTGAACTTCTATGTAAATGCATTTTTTATCTTATTTTTTTTGCACCATTTCTTTTTTCTCCTACACTGTTTACATTTGATTGCTGTATCTGCGGCTCTTAGAAGGGGATTTTTTAGCAGAAATCGGGACAATTATCTTGTTGTGTGAACCAGGCTTTAGCCATAATGGGCAGCTGCTAACATGGACATCTATGCGTATGTGGCCCGCATGGCTTGTAAACAGGAGACTATAAGACAACACCGAGAGATGGTGTTTGATGTCACTTTATTTTTCATTTAAAAACATATTTTAATTTTTTTACATCGCTTTTTTTATGTCTTTCTATCAAAAATAATGATTTATTGTTGAATAATACCAGAAAAACTCGGTCAGCTCAGAAACTTTGGTCGTTGTTACACTGCAAAAACAATCCAGAAATAAGTGAAAAATGGCTTAAATTAAGTATATTTAGCCTTAATTTGAGCAGGTAAATAAGATGATTTGCCAATGGAATGAGTATTTTCACTCTTAAAATAAGATAGTTAGATAATATTTACTTGAAATAAGACGATAAAATAGTTTTTTCTAATTTTAAAAGGAAATTGTCTTGTTCCATTGGCAAAGTGTCTTACTTACCTCCTCAAATCAAGGAAAAACGCACTTATTTTAAGAAAAATATTACTTATTGAGATTTCTATTTTTTGCAGTGTATAAATCTGATTTGGGTGTTTACTCTGTGATACATCGGAGACTAAAGGAGCATCCCCTCTTTGCCTCCCATGTGCAGGAGTGGGTGGAAACCTGGTGGCCATTCAGGCCAGCAGGATCTCTACATACCTGCACTTCTGGAGCATCCCAGGTGTGCTTCCCAGTAAAATGAGCCAGCACTGGCCCAATCCATGCAGCACCTTCTTCTCATCAGGTAGGCTAACTTTTCCATTTCTGTCTAATTAGGCAACATGAAGTTCCTATAGTAGAGTTGTCCCAAAACAGCTTTTTCATTTCCGATGTGCTGATATCGCAGCTTGGAGAATTGACCAATACTGATATTGACCTGATACGATATTAACACGATCATGCATACTTTTTTTGCTTATTTTGTACAGCAAAATGTATAGAGAACGTATGTATGTAGAGAACAACTGACCCATGTAATATTAACCAATGAGATACAGAAACTTTAAACAGAAGCAGTGTTTCTCTGCCACTATCAGAGATTGTAGATGCTGGTGTTCTGTCATATGAGCATACCCGGTCAGACCAGCATACCCATAGTCAATACCCGTTTATCCTCAATACCCGTTTATCCCTTTACTTTTGTATGAAAAAAAGATTTTAAACTACCTAAACGGACATGTATCCATTTAGTCATGTACAAAAAAATATATTTTATTACTTACTTTTTGGTGTTTTTTGAAGAATATGGAAAACTCAACTTAAATTGTTTATTTTTTTGTACATGACTTAAGGGATACACACCCATTTAGATAGTTTAAAGTCTATTTTTCATACAAAACTAAAGGGATAAATGCAACTCTTGCGCATGTGTATTGACAATAGGTATGCTGGTCTGAAGGGTTATGCTCACCTGACAGAACACCGGCCGATTTAATCAGACATGATTGTTTTGGCTAAAATCAGAGCGACAGCCCATATTTATATTGGATCAGGACATCTCTATCTAATAGTGCATTCATAAGTGCTGCTATTCTACCAATAATTAAGTGAAGAAATGTTTTTGTTGTTAAACAGAGTAACTTGAGAGAAGCTTTATCTCTTTATATCCCAGGGGTGAACTCTAAGTCGGCGCGGGTTCTACTGATGCTGGTCATACCCGGGCATCTCGTTTTCCTCTACGCCATCTCTCTGCTGCAGGGAGAGGAGGCTCCTGTCACTCTGCCCTTCACCATCTGCTACCTGTGTGCTGCCCTGCTGCAGGTAAACTAACACAGCTGAAGCCTCATTTATCAGAGCCTGGCACTTACCTGGGCTCAGCAGTTACGCTAGGACAAGTAAAACAAAACATGAGTACAGTGTATTCTAGCCAATCCCATAATAGGAACACGACAGAATGAACCAAAGCCTGGAGCTTCAGCAGACGTCTAAAGATCATAACAGTCACTTATAGATTCCCATCTCTGTCTGGCTGCGTTCAGAAACATACCAGCCCACCATGTGGCACAGTAACAAATCAAACCAAAATGCACTGTTGTGCAGAACTGTAGAGGTGTCTGGTCTGAACAACAACTGTCCCCCAGTTGATCCATGATGACAGATCTCTCCTAGTAGGACAGCTTTACACCACACTTCATCGATCTGCTGTCCTAAAATGATGCCTTTGAGGCACTGGCTTCCCCTCGTTTTAACTTGTTTCTAGACTTTAACATAACTCTTCAGGGACATACAGTAGAAAGGCACATTTGTCTGCATTCAATGATCTGTTTGAACCAAAGCACCCAGTTTCACAGCAGATATTTTTGCATGAAGGCTGGTCAGCTTTCCTTTTTTTATTTTTTCACTTATAGATGCAAAGAAATCTGTGATAGAGAACAGCTCTGCTGGGGATAAATTAGAAATAAGATCCAGTTTGTGTAGAAAAGACAACATGAGAATATAATAGGATGGCAAAGATGGTGGTTAATCACAGTCATTAAATTTCATGGTGAAAGATTTCATGACCTACTGCTTTTTTTATCTGTTTCAGGCTGAATATGATAAATCAACCAAAAATTTAATTTTATATGCATCTTTTTTTCTTTCAATTGATGAAAGTGGATAAAAAAAAGAAAGAAGTCCTTGACTTAGAAATGTTTAAAAAGAGCAAAACACGTTTCTTTTTGGACAGTCAGTTGGGCTTGGATCATAAAAGGATATTGGAAAAAGTTTTTAGAGGACAGTGAAGGCATTTTATTTTGATATTTCATTAATCAGGCGTATGTGACCCCAGAAATTGTTCTGTCTGCATATCAGTTGTGTTGCCATGACTGCACTGGAACCGCGCTCCGATCTGATCAGGAACCAGTGTCCTATCAAGTTGTGGCCCACTACTGAGACGTGCTTCCCCTTCCGTTCTGCTTTGGTTTCAGGGTTCTAAAGACCACAGTCACTAACATCGCAGCGCCTGCAAGAATAGGATCATGCTGTACTTTAAAATGATTTTATCAGCTATTTCTGTCCTCAGATGCCACCGAGATATTACTCAACATCCTCAACCGTTTTCAAGTCACTCTGCTTCGCACTATATAGCCTGAAGCTAGCAGCTCATGTTATCCTCCTAACGGATTAATTACAATTAAATTTTAAATTTTTTGAATGTAGGGTTTTTGTTTTGATGGGAAACATACAAAGAAATCATTCTTATCTTTCATTCTTTCCATTTGATTGAGCAGATTAGCTGTATTTAATGTGCTAAAAGGGCTTTTCATAAACTTGGTGAACTGTAGTTGGACCTGGTGTTTCTCACAATGCAGCAGTAAAAAAGCTTCCATCTCTAAGAACATCACAGGCTTTTCACAGTCTGATCCAAAATGGCCGCCACCACCTGTTACCCAACTGTGAGGTGACTGATGCCCAGTGTTAGTGTGTGCTCGTGATAAGAATCCCAGGTCTGCTGCGTGTCAGCCACATTCTCTACAGAAAACGGCTTCGGTTGCCTTCAGCACACACAGCAAAGGTCTGCGACTGTTGGGCCATTTCCCTAATCTGCTGTGGGAGTAGTAAATCTCAGAGAAAGGTTTCTTTAACTCTGCTGGCTGGCAGACCAGCAGCAGCTTTCTATCTATTCAACTCTTCTCCTCTAGTCCGCAAATCAGAGCTTTATTCAAAAGTTAAATATTTGTTTGTTTAAAGCTTGAATGTTTTTAGTAACTTTGAACTAATTTTAAATATCCCAAGCATTTTTGTTCACTTAACCAAAATCAAAAATGCTCTCATTATTTTAACTGTCATTTTGCAGTAAGAGAATTCCAAAAAAAAAAAAAAAAAAAAAACAATCCCCTGGACTTTGTTCCTAATTTTGAAGATGTTTTGCTTCCCATTCATCTGGTTCAATTTGCATGTTTCTAAGCCAAAACAAAGACTCGAACGTTTTGTTCCGACATTTTGTATTGAAAAAGCTTCCTGGATGGGAGGCGAGATGAAGTCCAGCAGATTATTTTTTAAATTTTTTTGGGATGACTATGGCCTGGAAGACTGAGAATCTTCACCAGCAATGAGTAAGAGAAACATTTAACATTGTTTTCATAATGCATAAGAGGTAAAAATCTGAAAAGTGTGGCTGACATAATGTATTTGGAGCCATGTTCTCCAAAACTGTCTGGGGAAATCCACTTCTTTCAGAAACCAGTCGATTAGTAAATAGGCTTAGTTTGTTTAAGCTTTGTTAGTACAAATCTGGCCTTTTTATGCAGTCCCACAGTTTTGATCGAGAACATTAGAAAATAAACAGGATGATGAAAACCAAAGACCACGACAGACAGGTCAGAGAATTATGTGAAGAAAGGCCAGAGCAAGATCAACCCATCATGCAAGCATGGAGAGTACAACACAAAACAAAGCTGTTGAGAGTAATTCATTAGAAATCCTTTCTTTCAGTCAAATAGGAGCAGGTCTGATTATATTGAAGGGATAAAACTCGAATGACAGAAAAGGTTCATCATGTTAAATGCAAAAAGTTTATTTTGATATCTTCAACTGGATTAAATTCAGTAAACAATTTTCTATAATGCATCATTTGCTATCTGATTATTAAGCATCATGATGTGGGGAAGATTTTCTGCAGCTGGAGCAACAAAGTTAGAAATAATGAGGCTTCCTCTGCAGTGGGCGTCATCTTCCCAAATGTGCTGCTTTTAGATCTCATCGTCACTCCGTCTCAGTATTTATAACCACATCAGGCTTAGCTTCTAGGATCCATGTCAGCATACTGGATCGGGTTTAAACCAGTGTGATCTGCTCCAGAAACCGGACTCTTTCAAATACCCTTTTCCCACTGGCTGAAAAACCTGTTTAAACCCAGGAACGATCGGCTTTTAGTGGCTGTGGGAACGGCTCACTGACTCGTGTCTAACCGGTTCAAACTAACCGGCAAGCGACCTGCGTTAAAATCTTCTCGGCTCTGATTGGCATGCTGTCGAAACACCAGAGCCGGTATTCAGCTAATTTACGTGATACCATTAAACGCAACGTACGGACGTCAACATCTGATCTAATAAGCTGAAAAAACTCTGTTTACATTCGAAAAACATGACGCAGCTCTGGTGAGCGGGATTCTGAGCGACAAAAGAGCGAAACAATAAAGCAAACTTATTAATCCTGGCTTCCGTGCGCGGTGGTGTTACCAGACACTTAGCGGCGGGGGGGCAGCTGCCAGCGAGGGGTTAAACACAGCCTTTTTTTACTAGTGGGAAGAGAGCCAAATGCCGGTTGTTGCAGGTCAACTAATGTTTGAAAAAACACGATAAAGACGACAAAATGCTGGAAAAAAACTGACTGCAGGAGATTAAACACTTTCATTTTATGACAAATGTAGCCTATACTGGAGAAGCTTCCTATCAACTCTATGATATCGTAGGTTTAATGTGCTCTGTAGTTGCTTAAAGGAATAGTACACCCAAAACATGATTAGCCTTCATTTTCTACTCACCCCCATGCTGAACAACACCCTGGAGTACTTTTTGGATATCTCAAATGCATCTGGAGATCTGGGAGGCTTCTTGCTGTCTGCTGACATTCAAATAATGAAGGTGCCCAGCGCCCGGGGCAGAAAGGTCCATAAAAGTCCACAAAAAACGTGTCAATATTCCTGCATACTGCTCGTCCAATGTATTCCAAGTGTCCTGAGTGGGTAGCATCCAGAATTTACTCGAAACGAAGTCATTTAGAATGTTTTTAGAGCATAAACAGTAGTGTATAGGATTTCCTGAAAGTGCGCACATGCGCGTTCACGACGCTACGGAAGCCGGCAGACCAAACCAGATGAAAGTGCGCATTCTGCGTCTGCTCTGCCGATAATGCAAGAGTAGAAGAAGAAATGTGCTGTTTACCTGTGCAAAGAAAGAAACAATGAAAGAAAAATGTCTGAGGACTTCAGTGTTGAGGAAGAGCATGAGTTATTTGCCGAGCTGAATGCGCTGGTTTGGTCTGCCGGCTTCCATAGCGTCATGAGTGCGCTTTCAGGAAATCCTATACACTACTGTTTATGCTCTAAAAACATTCTAAATGACTTCGTTTCGAGTAAATTCTGGATGCTACCCACTCAGGACACTTGGAATACATTGGACGAGCAGTATGGAGGAATATTGACACGTTTTTTGTGGACTTTTATGGAACTTTCTGTCTCGGGCGCCATAGACCTCCATTATTTGAATGTCAGCAGACAGCAAGAAGCCTCCCAGATCTCCAGATGCATTTGAGATATCAAAAACGTACTCCAGGGCGTTGTTCAGCATGGGGGTGAGTAGAAAATGAAGGCTAATCATGTTTTGGGTGTACTATTCCTTTAAGGCTCTGATTGTTAAGGTTTGGAGATCGATGCTGTAATTACAGCATGTTTCTGCTTTGCTTCATGCTGCAGATTTTATTCAGACCCTCAGAAACAATCCTGGCATTTAGAAAAATATCTGATGAGCTACTAAACAGTCATTCTCAATGTTTACTTACTGGATATTAGCCACTCTGAATCTGATAGCACAAAGAGGAAAAGGCTGCTCTTTTTATTGGTTTTAATGAGCCCTATATTACTTTTATTGGCTTCTACTTTCACACCGGCTGTAAAACATCTCTGTTGAAGAACTAGATGGATGATTAAAACCAGAGTGTGTTTTCTAGAAAATAAAAAGCATGCATCCATCAACTAAAATTACAAATTAGAGAACAAAACCACTACAAGCCTCACTGATATTGTACTTCTACTGGGATTATAATGTAACACAGTTGCCATTTCATTTCATATTGTCTTTTTTTGAATGAAAAGCCTTATGGACAATCTAACAATCTCTCTCATAGATAGGGTAGCTCATCAACATTTTATATTTGTCAATGATGTTTGAAGTTTTTATTGGGTCAATACTTGAAGCGGTTGAAGAGTAACTACTGTATCTAAGCTTGTAATGTTATCCATTATTGCAGCTGAACACCTCTGTTGTCGCTTACTTCAATCCTCAGGGGTTTATTTCCTAAACATGGCCAGTTTAGGTCAGTTCTCTCTTGTTTTTTTTTTTTGTTTTTTTTCCCAGGTGGCCATCCTTCTTTATGTTGCCGATCTCATCGTCCGTTTCATGTGGAGAAGAAGTCTGGACCCCGACAACTTCTCCATCCCTTACCTGACAGCTCTGGGGGACCTGCTGGGCACCGGCTTCCTGGCCCTCTGCTTCCGCTGCGTCTCTCTGATCCAGAGTTTGGGCCTGTGAAGTTTTTTTCCACTAATCTCTGAACACTAAGATTCTTATAAAAGTTTTATAGTTTCTTTACATCTTTACCACTGAGCCAGTTCAAACCGAATTGTTTAAAATCCTCGTCTTTATTTTACACTCTAGTACCTCTATGTTGTTCTTTGCCTCAATGCTTTGTTTGACAAAGCGTCTGTCATCGCACTTTTATAAAAAAATAGACCTCCTGCTATAAATATTTCAGTTTGGTTTCCTCTGTTTGCCAGAGGAACATCAAGTGAGTCACTACAGTGAGCAGCTGGTGCATTTTTGGACTTTAAAGTTGGCTGCTCAGAAAAGCAACTACTTTGATTGATTAACTCTACATGCATCGCATTTAAACCACATCTACAGGAGGACATGCAGACCTATCAGTGAGAGTAGGAAGTTTTTAATCTCACTGGTGCACATGTAATTACTGGAACAGTGGGTGAAGTAGATAGAAGATGTTTGTTAAAGGTTCTAATCTCCTTTCCTAACAAATCCGACTTTATTCACTAACAATCATCAAAACGATCAAATCAAATTGTATCACATGATAAAAGAGACAAATAGAAGATTCAGCTGTTGACCTTAAATGTTGTTTTCATCCTGAGCGACGACCAGTCGGTCAGAGACTTTAAAACCGAATCTGTTTTTAATCGAGGAACACAAGTTTTTATTATGAAGAATAAAAACTGTAGTAGGAAGCTTATCAAAGCCGACGGCCGATTTGTCGTTTTTCTTCCTTCCGATTCCAGCAGCAATTGCAGCTCACATCCTGATCAGGATTTGGTTTTGATTTTTTTTTTTATGCAACCCTCCATGATTTTTTTTTATGCTTTTAGTTTCCTTACCTGCAGTAGACAGATATCATATCACAGTGAGCTTTTTGGAAATCCTGGTGAACAGCTGATCACACAGAGAACGCCTGTTCTCGCTCCTCATTGTCATTTAAACCAATCAAATATGAAGATGCACCACTGCCTCAGCAGATATACTCAATCGAGTGTTATTGCAACAGATTTGTATCTTTGATGGAGTTTTTTTTAACCAGCCAAGTCTTTTTAAAGCTATATCGATTGATCTCTTCCTGCGGTATCGATCTGTCAGATCTGCTGTCCTAAAAACAGAGTAAATTATTCATCGTTTGGCAGCAGCATCAATGATGTTTGAAGGTGATCTGACTGACTTCCAATCAGCTGATCAGTCAGACTGATGTCTGATTAGCTTGTTAGCATCCATCTCCTCGGGAGATACCATTTACCATGTGCAGAAACTTTAAACAACATCTTTGTTTTAGAGTTAATGTAATTATCATGATATTAACTTCACAACACTGACTGAGAGCCAATTTAACGCGCTTCATTCAGGCTGCTTCAGAGCGCCAAGCTTCAGCTCTAGCTGCTCGTTTGGCAGCGAGGCAAAATATTTCAGCTTAATATTATGACAGCATTGCTGTTATTTATTTATTCTAGGGTTTTTTGTTTTTTTATTTAGTTTTTCTCTTGAGTGTCCTGTTTTGCCAATATAGCTCTGGGAATAGATGTCACAGAGCTAGATGATAGCTAACAGCTTTGCTTTCATAAGCAGACCAGTATGACTGTTACCATAAGGTTCCAGTTCATACTTGTATGTCAAACTTCATTGAAAATTATTTAGGGATTAAAATATAATATCATATTAAATGGACACAGAGGTGGAAAGTGAGATGAGAAAGAAACAGGGGATAAAAACTAAGGGGATAAAGATAGAGACAGGAAAGAGAGAAAATAAAAGCAAACTGCAAAAATAGACAATACAGAAGATATACAGTAACTCCTAGAAGTCTGCTTCCTGTATGAGACGACAAGGAAAGAAAACACAGAGCATAACAGCGAAAAAAGGGGACAACCAAAGTGAAAACGTTGAAGAGCAGCGGATGTCCTTTAGATATCCATGATGCCGAAGTCAAAATCTATTCTTTTTAGTTCTTAAAGCTACAGTGTGTAATAATTACAGGGATATACAGTCAGAAATGTAATATATTATACATAACTATGTTATTTATCATCATCTACGAGCTCAGACTCTTAACCTTAATATTTGTGTTGCCTTAGAATTAGTTATTTATAATTACATAGGAGCGGGTCTCGCAGCCATGGAGGCAGACATCTTTGCGCTACGGCAGCGCAGAGCCAACAAACTAGCGATTGCGAGATCGCCCATGTAGAAAAAATAACGGGTAAATTTATTATCTTAAGTCTACATGAAATCTATACCCTACACAGACTAATGAAATACTATCTGTAAAATGATCTATGTAAACAAACCTCATCACTTGAGAAGGTAGGTGATGCGGACGTCGTGGAAGACATTTTGTCCCGTAACGCTCGCCGTACTGTTGGGGGGGAGAAGCGGTGGGGGGGGGATGTTCATGTTGCTGCGGTCTGCAGTCTGGACGTTAGATGTCGCTGAAAATTACACACTTAAGCTTCAATCTGTCTGAAGTCAGATCTGGGATCATTAGCAGCCTTTTGGGAACCTCAGATTTCAAATGAGGGTCAATATTTTCTGCTGTTATTAGTTCTAATCATGCTAGTCCCCAAGACAAATACTGATGGCTGTATTAAATGTTAAGGAAACTTTTCTGCTTAAAAATCAATTATTGACTTATTACTGCTTTCATAATTTTGTTTGGAGAAATATGAAAAAAAAAAAGAATTCTGAAATCGGACCCAGATTTACAGTAGGTGTATCTCTAATAAATGTCATGACAGAAATATACGTTCCCTGGGATCTAAAAAATTAATAATAATAATTAAAAAAATAATCATACTGATAAAAACTAAACTTTTTAGGCAGCAGTTGGATGAGGTCATGGAAAGAGGCAGGAGCCTTTATTGTAGGTAGAAGGATACCTACAGGTTCTCAAGCTTCTTAGGTCCCCTCACTATCCCATGCAGGGTAGCTGTATATGATGACTGATATCATGATGAGAGGGCTAAACTGATATAAGATGCAAAGAGGCTGGATGTCATGACATTTTCTCTCTGAAGAGAAAAGCCAAAATGATTTTTAAAGCTGAGAATGTTTTGTAGGGAATTTCATGTCTTCACACCAAAACCTTTTTAAAGATATTCACTGTTATTCACTGCAGACCCTGAACCATCTCAGTATCATGAATAGATGCGTTTATTGTTGTGCCTTTAGCCTCAGATTATCAGGAATCTCACAAACAATGATAACAGGAAAGAGGACTTTGGTGTTAAGTACGGCTTCTCTGGTTTCTGTTTTCATTGGGAGATTTATTTTATTAAGAATTTCCACTGAAAGTTTGAGTGGTTTAAGATGTTTAGTCTCACATGTTCCCTGAAAGCAGAAGTTGGGAAAGCTGTCAGCTAAACGAAAGCAGGCAGCGTTGAACAGTTTCCTGGAAATCCTCTGATTTTGAGCAATAAGTGAGAAAGAATCGAATCGAATGGGATGAAAAATGACCATAAAGATCGTTTAATTTCTCTGTACTTCTCTAGAAACATTGCTCAGCCATACATTCTTGGTTGTGCCAACTGAGCAGTGCCAAGCTACTGAATATATTTCTATGCTTTGAAAAGGATCAACAGTGATGGTGAAAAGAAAGCACAGCCTTATCATTTTAAAGTAGCAGCAGTCTTTATTAGGTCTTATTTTTTTTAATCTGACCTCAGTTGTACACTAATAAATAATAATAGCAACTTGTTTTTCTGACGTTCGCTGGGTGAGAGGCGGGTCGGCGTACACTCCTGGGCAGGTTGTCAGTCCATAACAGGGCAACATACACAAACACTTACAGATTAGAACAATTTAGGAGAGCATTTTATTTATTAATAATGTTTTTGGACTGTCTGAGGAAGACGGAGCACCCGGAGGGAATCCGTCCACACAGGGAGAACATTACAACTGCATGCAGACAGAGCCAAGGACAGGATTCAGAACCAGATTTAAACAGTGCCTCACCATGCACCCCTGCAACACATCCCAACATGTCTTCATTTAATTACCAGCAGTGAAGGTAAACCCATAAGGCAGAACTTGAGCACTCTATGATTTAAAAGAGGAAGGAGCGTTGGCAGCAAAATAGTTTTTAGGTTTGTGCTGTCATGGAGGACTGGATTCTTTGAGGTATTCAAAGCAATTTATTATTGCATGACTCCATTTTAGCCAAGTTTCAGCAGTAAGACAAACAAGAGTCACTTCAAAGTGGGTTCATTGGCGTGCTCCCAAGAAATTGTTTTTCAATTCCATTAATTGAATCTGCTCCTTTTCAGAGTCTTAAGGGGCAAAAGCAACATCATTGTTACTTTTGCACAGGCTAGTCGGCGCATTTCTCTGTTCCTCTTTCCCATACAGACATTTCAGGCATTATAAACATGTAAACCTGATTTTAATGTCATCTTTCTTTTGAGTTTTCTATCTACAACTCGCTAGAAATATGTCAGAAAAAGCATTACAGTGGAATTGAAATGAGTTGCTTTATATTTACTTCAATACTTAAAATAGACACCCAGATGTCTGTTACACTATTGTGTAGATAATAGTGCATAATCTGTTCACTATTGTTATGGTTCTTCAAATATAAAACATCTCACAGTTTTGTGGGAGATCTAAATAATAGTCCTACATTCAGTTTTAGTGTATTTAAGAGTTTATATATCTCAATTTAGGCAAAATATAAGTAAAAAAACACAGAGGACATGACCTTGGTGTCCTGAATGTAGTTACGGCACCAGAGAAAAAAAGTGTAAATTTCCATGTAAGCAGAGGAGCTTACAGTTGAATCATTGAATGCAGGGTAACATTGTCTGCTGAAGAAGCCCAAACTATCACCCCTCCTCTTCTGTGCTTAACCATTGGTGTCTGGTGCTTTCACGCTGAAAGCGTTTCCAGAGCAAACAATTAACATGTAGGGGTGCGTTCAGGAGGGATGCTATAAAGTGATGGTTGCTGAAGTTTTTTGTTTCTTTTGGCTTCTGGACAACGAATCAGGAACTGTGTGGCTGTGAGGTGAGGGAGCACAGCAGAGTCGTAGCTCATTTCAGTCCTAATGGGGGATGGAAAATATAATGTTAATGTAGAATGAAGTAAGAAATGAAGAAATAGATGGTAGTTTTAAAAAAAGGCCACTTTATTTCAGCTCTAGAGGGTCTGCTAAATAATTAGTTACCCATCTCTCTACCTTAGCTCCAGAGCCGGTCCTGGCCACCGAACAATCAGACGCTGTCCTCCTTTAGCTTCAGATCGGGGCGGAGCCAGCCGGCTGCACACTCTGCCAGAGTTCCTGCTCTGATCTCCTGCTGCTCTTGTCTCACCTCCTGATCTCTGCCTCATCTTACCTCTGCTGTCTGGGCGATCCTCCCCGGAGGGGGAATAGTTCTGGTTCCTGGTCAGATAGAAACATCGTGATCCAGCCTTAGCTCCTGGACTCTGAACTGGGAGCATCTGGAGGATCTAGTGAAACCAGAGATGCTAGCACCGCCGTTAGGCTTCCCAGCATGAATAAAGCACCATAACTCAGTTAATAAAATCCACCGCTATTTGATAAAGGAGTTCAGCTTTCTGCCCGCCCATAAAAACGGCTGGTGAGTGACAGCAGGCAAACGCCATGACTTTGTAGCTGACTTTAGGTTTAAGGTTGTCAGGCAGGTGTAGATTTATGCCAAAACCTTCTAATTTTAGGATGTCCATGGTGAACTG